CAGGTTCATTTCTGGGGGGAGGGTGTCGCCCGCATTGGGTTTGAGGTCTGGGTAGTTTGTCTTCACATGTTCACATGTGTGTGATTTAAAATGGCCAACATGTGTAGGAGGATATTTAATGTCATTGCACCTTGCATGGTGCAGGGAGCAACTACTTGTAGTTAAGTTAATTTGTTATCTCTATAGCTATATTCCTGTGTGATTATTACTTGATTTTGTTTACTTTTTTATTAGAAAATAAATAAGCCGCTGAAAGATTTCAGCGGATTGGCAAGTTGGCCAAGTATCATACATTTTAGTTATTTTCCTTGATCCCAAGTTTGTTATCGGGTCCTTCATGGATTCCGTTACAATATCCATTATCTCTAGCCATTGCCAGTTATATGGAATTCAGACAGGACCAAAGTGTTCATACATTTACACGTTTCTCTCATGAGGCATTCTAAATCTCTCAACTCACAACAGCTTGCTGTACTAATAAGAGTTGTATTTGCATCTGAACATCCACTTAAGACAGCATATTAGGGTTGGACAAAAGAATACAACATGCCCAATGATACAGGTGTAATATTATGTAGTGACAATCAGAGATAAAGTAATCAGTTAGTGTTAAAAGTGATTTGCAACAATGTTTGACATCTTATGCATTCCACACAATGTCATGGGTCAGTTATAACAGCAATCTACCTATTCCTCACCTTCATCTCAGCTCGTTTTGGTGGTGATACTTTGTTATCATCAACCTTCACCTCTCCTTCTGGCATCTTGTTAAGACATTGATCAACGATTCGTAGACTTTGTCTCATCTCCTCAACACGACACAAATATCTGCAATCAAGCATGCACGAGACTTTCAGAACAAGTTCACCAGACAGTCAAATTTGCAAAAGTTACCTTTCAGATTTTTACAGAAGTCCTCGATCAGATTGTTAAGTAACTCAAAAACAAACTAAAAGAACCGAAATGCCAAAGAAAGTGCAGGGGAAGAAAAACAGAAAACCAGCTTTTTGGGATAAAAGTAGGGGTTCTCCGAAAAAATAACAAAGCATAACACTAAGGTATGTAGACATCTTACAACAAGATCTACAAAGATACCACACAAGCAAAATAGCAAGGGTAAATCAATATCAGTCACATCTTGCTTTTAAATCTGATCACAAATGTGGGTCTTTCCAGACTTAAGGAAACCACTGCAAATAATATTAAGTCTCTATTTCTATATACATTGTTTTTTCTCCAGGCTACGAGCAGTTTTGCCCAATTTTCATGCACATATTTATTTCTTCACTCTATGTCCCAGTCTGCTCATAGCCTTACCTGTCATAGCAATCTCCATGGGTTCCAATAGGAATATCAAAGTCTATCTGATCATAGGTCTCATATGGTTGAGTCTTGCGCAAGTCCCATTTGATGCCTGATCCACGCAGCATCACCCCACTATAACACAAAACAAAACAACAGATATCAATATCTCTACAAGAAGGTACTGTCAGAAAAAGCCTTTCACTTTAGCACTTGATAGCTGGTGTTCTGTGACACTGCCTTCCTTTCTTATGTCCTTAAGCAGTATTCATTGCTTCAATTTAAACCTTAGCAGGGATATGTGATGGGGGTTATGGTGCAACATATTTGAATGTCATGCTGACGTCATTTGATTATCAGAAAAAGCCCCACCTGAATCCATAATTGAGAGCATCCTCAGCTGTGACTACACCAATATCGATCAACCGATCCTTCCATATGCGATTATTGGTGAGCATCTGCAAATAAACAGATCAGCAAATTCATGTGTTTACTTCACATCAGAAATGGGAGACAACTTCACAGCAGGACGGGAAATAAGAGTATTACTGCTGTTTTTCCCAAATTCAAAAAAGTATTGATGAATCCAGTGATATGGCCCCTTCTAATGGTGGAAATCATCATCTCAGGTTTTGTACAGAGCAACTCTCATGGAATAGCAGCTCCATGTAATACTTCTGTCACTTTGCTTACAGCCATTAGCAGGGCCACTGCATATTAATCACCATGGTTACTGGCTTTGTCTGAAAAAAATAAATTCATCGCATAAGATTTTTAATAAATATTAATAAACAAAACTGGAATAGTTGATTGAACACAGCTGGATCACCTGTTCAAGCAACAAGAATAGCTAACTGTAGTTCAACTACCACCGCCCGAACAATTTAGGTTTGGACTGTCTAATCGACCATTTGGGACCAGGCCCCGGGGCAAAGTTGCACCACTGCTTATCATACACCAATTTCATTTATCATTACAGAGGGAAATGTCCACTTGAAAACAAATTATGCAAGATTTCTATGACCATGTAAACTGCAAGAATCGCAGGCCGACTCGGGTTGTTTGAGTGGAACTGAATTGCATGTGTACAATATTAACCACTTCGCACTGACCCATTTGTCCATGTTGATTCTGCTGGGACGAGATATTTTTCATTTTCTTCTGTTTTCAAATTCTTTAAAAATTAATAACTTTATTTACTGGACGTTTACACCAACACGAATTACTGTCTAGTGGCTACTCTAATCTGACTGACAACATCTACTGACGCCGGAGTATTTCAGCTAGGCCTGCCGCCTTGCAAAAATAGCCCAGATTGTGCAGTAATATGTAATTTTCTTTTGTTCCCAAAACTAGCACAGTGCGCTGCTGACATCTTTTCAATAGGGGCCAGATTGGCTTGCAGCGGTATTGTATCGCTCATCACTGGAGAGCTTTTGTGCCCGGTGGTAATCTGCTCGTGTTGAATGCCACAAACAGTGCTATAATCTTTCAAACAATGACAGATTTCCTCTGCTATTGACAACTGAAAGAATGTTGGCAATTCCCAGCAGCTCAGTCTTTAGTTCCGAGAACAGTCTTTTGTTACAAGGCCCAGCTCTTTTTTTCCAATTTCGGGCTCCCCAGCTTCGTGTATAAAGCCTATGAGCCCGAAACCGGGTACCCCAGCACAAAGTGGTCAAGAAGCAACTGACTACTGGTCGATATACAGTTAGTGCCCAAACTTGTCCTAATATGCAGTAAATGTTTAATTCAAGTACACAACTAATATTTGCACCCTGATGAAAAGTCTGAAATATTTCATATAGAATGTGTGGTGTAATTTTGAACAAAAGATGCTTTGGCCGTTACCTCTTCCAGCTCATCTATCCTGAGGGAGAATTTCTTGGCCCACTCATAGATGTCATCCATCAATCCCAATGGCATATCCTGACAGAAAATTTACAAGTATATGAAAACTCGTTATCAAGTCAGTCCACTTTTCCTATTTCTTCCTTTCTAGTGAATACTCATCTGCTGCACCACAAAATATTTCATTTTCTTTTTCATGAATCTCAGGGTAATTATGAAAGTGTCAATCACAATATTTTCAATAACTACAATAATCATTAATATCATTTTAATATCTATTCACTTTATTCCTTATAGTTCAAATTTTTAGAGACCATTTTAGGATAGCGTAGAAAATTTGTGTGCTATTTTTATTAAATACTATACAGATGACAGAAGTGATCACATAATCTGTACTGGTTAAACCAAGAGTAATGTTTTTCTTGGAAGGTTCTTTGGGGATTCCCACTTTGAAGACACTCCGGTCACAGAAGTACAATGTCCACATTTTTCACCAGCCAGGCAAGTAGACTGTCACAAAGGTTAAATTGCTTGAAGTCATCGCTGTACTCCTGACACTGTAAAAGGAAACAAATCCATCTATTCCTCATGAGTGCATGGTTACACCTAACTCACCTGCTGTACACCTCCGGGTCTGATGTATGCTGCGTGCATTCTGGCTCCAGATACTCGCTCATAGAACTCAAATGTCTGCAAATAGCAAGCAGTGGCAAATTAGCTTAGGACAATCCAAAATACTACCCACAACTAACAATTGCAGTCTTTTAAACAACATACTGAATTTCACGACAGACATTACAACTGACCAGCAGTAAACCTAGCAATTAAACAAACAACTTTACAATATCAGAACAAGTCAGTTTGCCAAAGTTGGTTTGCATGAAGGTGAAGAAATATAAGATTAAGTTAAGAGACACTGCCAAATGAAGGAGTAGAGATCAAAGAATCACCTTTTCTCTTTCTTCAAACATCCAGAAGAATGGTGTCATGGCTCCAACATCCAGAGCATGAGTAGTGACCGCCATGACGTGGTTGGCTATACGGGTGATCTCTGCAAACAAAACTGACACAAGAAGAAACACACATTCCCCGTTAGCATGCCTAACAACAAATCAAGAATAAACAATCAACTCCAGGACTTGCTTGAAATGCTATTAATTAAACCCATACATGTATAAAACTGAGAAAGGGGATGGTAAAGCAGTTGAAAAGAACGTTTGTCGTTAGCAATCTATGGCATCTTTAATCACCCTTTGGATGACTGATCCTTGTAAACTCAATAAAACACTACGTTCCATTATCTTTGAAGTTGCAGCACACAACATAAACTACAAGATGTGCACATTATGCACTTACTCAAAAAATTTACCTGAGCCATCACAGAGGCAACATTTTGCCACAGCCTTTCCTGAAACTCCCCCTCCCCCACCCAAAACTGTCAAGACCTTACGCTTTACACAATAAAATCTGAATCAATTTCAATCACACAATCCTGGGTATATATATGGAGAAACAGGACAGTTTTTGATGAAGGCCAACCTCGGATCCACTTTGCTCTGTCAGGGATGTTTATATTGAGTAGTTTCTCCACTGCTAATGAGTAGGCTTGCTCGTTACACATCATGGAGACGTAGTCCAATCGATCAAAGTATGGTAGTGCTTGAAGGTAAGTCTTGTACTCTATCAGTTTTTCGGTGCCACGATGTAGCAGGCCAATATGGGGGTCTGCTCGCATGACAGTCTGAGAAATAAATTTTAAACATCCATTATTAACGGATATTAGCTCATTGGTAAAGCTAGCAACAAATACTAAATATTGTAGATTAACTTGTGAACTAATACTCTGCTAGCATTCTATAAATTGAGCTGTGTGCCCAATCCTAGCTATCTTCTTGTGAGACAAAATCTCTTCTCATTCGTGAACTTTCTACCTTCCCCCCCCAAAAAAGGAATTAGTAATATAGGCTGATGCTACTCCACAAAATGACAGTGTAGGGATCACTTCAAAGGGTAACAAATTTTTGTCGCATGTTAAATGTGAGTGACAGCACAGCGGACAAGCAAATCAAATTAGTAGCTGGGCTGTTCATAGCTGAGCTCATCACCAACCCAGTCATAGGTCCAAGTCACAAGTAACACGATTAGGGTTTAGGACAAAGGAATACTTGACTAGCATGAGACTCAAGACAGAATGACTTAATGATGGACACAAAGCCATAATAATTCCTTTCATTCCTCTAAGGGCCTATTCATTTCACATGGATCTCAATCAGTGATCCAAAAGCTGGTTCTCTGTCCATAAGGCAGGTTCTGGTGTCAGTAAACCAACATCAGATTACTGAACATAATCCAGATCCATGTGAAACAAACTGGCCCTATATGTGTTCAGGTGCAGTCATTAGTACTGTTTAACTTAGATAAATTCTTACTTCACCACTGAGCTCTAGAACAAGACGTAGTACACCATGAGCAGCTGGATGCTGAGGACCAAAATTGATGACTAGGTTAGATACATCCTTCTCTGGTGTCTTATCTCGATCTTTGGGGAAAAAAAAGGTTAAGAAGTTAAAATTGAAAAATTCCCAAGCTAATTTATGTACTCATTTGTGCAATTGAAAGAACAGTGTTTCATTGAATGACGTCATATATTTTTGAAGCTATCTTTAAGTTGTATGCCCTTACCATCCCAGGGAGGTGCTGGCCATTTTGATGTGACTTCATCTGGATACATAACAGCCTTGGCATACTGCTCCACATCCTTGACTTCTGGTTGCCATTGCTTTGCACCCCTGGAGAAAACATGCACAAGTATTACCATACCAAGAAAATATCGCTATAATTATTATCAGCAACTGTTCATAGGGCCTACATTATGCTTTTCATTACCACTGATAACACGGGCGTCGGCTACTGCACCCCATTTCCACTTCGGTCTAGATACAACAAATAAAACATCGATGTTTGAGTACCTAAATAACAGTTGGAGAATCGAACTTACAAAGGCCAAACAATGCTTCTAATTTCCCGACCGACCCAAATTTTTCGGCGAGAACCTAACATTTTCATTGGCAAGTTTGAAAAAAAGTTTAATAAATATGAGGAAGACATATAAATAAATCCTGTTGTCTTTTTAATTCTGTTTTCACAAACACCTCAGAACGACATTTTCTCATTATAACGCTTGTGTTTACATGTACATGTTTTCCCTGTTACATTTGCAACATCTGACAAGCAACTTCTACTGATTTCACGAGTTCTCTTTGAGTTTCGCTCTCACTGTGGTAAAAACATGTGCGCAAAGTGCTGGTTCCTGTCGCGCTGCACCCATGCAAGAGAATGCATAATGATGTATGATGGAGTGTGGCAACCAGTCTATTCATGCGGCGGCGACTGTACACGTACGTGACCTCACGCATCGAAAAAAAGCGATGTTGCAAGATTCCTTCGAGTTAATTTACAGAACTTAATATCTCGTCTATGAGTGTATTTTCAGCATTCGTGAGTTTAATTTTAGGTTGTTTTGCTTGTACTTGAAGCGAGCATATTTCCACAAAATTTCTTGCCGCGGCGCGCCAAGGTTTATCCAATTACGGGGGGCACAGCTGTCTGGATACATTGACAATTACCAGAATGATGTGCACAGAAATTTGAAATAAACTTGAAGATGGAAAATAAATCCTATGCTACTTCAACTACATGTACATTGTACATGTATATGTATTAAATTTCACCATGGACATTGGACAACACAGTCGACATTAAGTGAATGCTGTAGAGTTTTCTGAATACATGTATAACTTCCTGTCATTTGTGGAACTCCTCTCTCGACCATTTTTTGGAAGAGGCTTGGGACACACTCAAGCACAGATGGGGGGAAGTGGAGATTGGGCGAAATGGTTAGAGGCAAAGTGGTTAGGGGCAATGTGGAAATGGAGCGAAGTGACTGTAAAGCGACTGCTAATGCAACACAAACAATGAAATAGTTGAACCACATCAATTTCACATGCACTGAATTCCAGTGATATTTTCAGTTCAGAAACAATATCACTAGGCCCAGTAGTAGTCAACATTAAGCCTAACCTAAAGTTCAAATGTAGTTAGTCCAACATGTCTAGGGCTTGTGGATGTCGGACAACTCAACTGTTTACCATCTCAACTCAGGACAACTGGACCATTGAGACAACACGACTGGTGGGACAACTCAACCGTACATCAGTCCCCTAGTCATTTCTCTTTTTTTGAAGAAAACGTGGTGGCGATGTGACTTTTTAGTTTGATTAGTGCAAGCGCACTCATTACGTATGTTACCTTACTAGTCAACATGGTCAACTTGACTCAATCGAAGACTTATCCTACCGGTCGAGTTGTCTCAAAGATCGAGTTGTCCTAGCCCCAGGCGCTTGTACAGGTGCGCAGGCAATGACAGGATACACTACACTACAGTTTTCAAATTCAACATGTTCAATGCGAAAATTGACCTGCTCTACAAAATTGAGAATTCACACACATCATCGTCATTCTGAGGCATATCAACAGTTCCTCCATGTTTAACAGATACATTAATTATGTCTAAACAACAAACCTTGAACAGGCAATAACGGGAGACCTGCTTAAGATGTTTTGAGTGAGAACACCTCTAACAGAATTGGCAGGAATTCTGCAAAGCGCTCGACCCAAGAGCGCCGCCATGTTGCATAAACACAGATATAGCACCGCACTGGTATCATGTAGCTGTAATGCAGTAAGCTACGGAGGGGTTGGTTACCAGCGATATTTGCATGCTGCTGTTTTGACCTTGTATGTATTGTAATAAAAGTTTTCAAGTCAACCAAAAAAATGGGAAGGAAAACAGAAAAAGCACCAACTACATGTATAAACGGTATAATGAAATCGCCCTGTTTGATTCACGCGATAAGTACGTTCTGTGCCGAAAGAGCCTTCTTTACGAAAAGCTGAGACAGTGTTTTGAATTTCCCAAGAAGCTAGAGAACTAGAGAGCTAGAGAACGGTCTCCCAACCGGAATGTCTAAAAAGAGTTTTGGTTGTTGAATACCTCTCTACGTCCTTCTCAATCACGGGTGAGGGTCTGAGGTATTAACTGATCGACGGAGTGGGCTTACGTTTACGGTCTCATCCAAATATTGAGAGAAGCGGCATAAAGGGCAGCGGCGAATCATCTTTGGGTCATTATCTTTTTATAGATTTCTTAGCCTGAAGTTCTTTTATGAGCCTGTGACGTGATTTCTACCTTGCTATACTACTGAAGGCCTACATACATGTTTATTTTTAATTTATAAGCGGAACCCCCCCCAAAAAATATGGATGGCTGTGTATACTGTTGGCACATAGCCCAACCCTTCCTGAAAATGTTTTCAAGTAAAGACTTCAATGAACAAACTTCCTTTAATCGTTATGAATTGAAGAAAAGACGCCGTCATCCGTAATCAGGTGGTATTCCACTATGCACTGTGCCTGCTGTAAGTTAAAGGGCGTATGAAATAACCAGTGTCTCAAAAATATAACACAGTGTACATGCACCATATAGGACACACGCCTGTACCAAACTTTGTAATGAGTTTTTATAAAACTACAGATGTTTTCAAGAATTTTTGATTTTGTGGAGGATGTAGGTAGCGCTAAGGATTCTTGATGTCACGTGGACCTAAAGGTACGGAACACTAATTCCAGCGCGGCTGCCCACTGAGCCTACTATAAACTCTTCCAAATATACCTGACAGTGACACAATTACATGGAGAAGGTATCAGTTTGTGAGGGGATGTTGCTCACTATTTCCTATTGCACCAAAGTTTGGACCAGCGAAGCATATTCGCAAACGTTAGTGTGAATAATTAACAACTTCGAACGGAAAGCAAGCACATTATGTTGTTGACTTGTTCTGGCGTTCATGTATGTGCCCGATTTTCCCTCCTTACATTAGCGCCGTTCCCGGGCCAATTCTATGAGGCTGTTATTTTTAATAAATCGGATTACAAACTCCGCGAAATGTAGTTTCAAAAATAGAGATAAATTACAAAAGTTAACATTTTTCCCCCGACGCAGGTTTTTTGGACAAAAGAATCGTTTGGGGTTTTTTAGACGCAGTATTTTGAGTCGGTTGAAAAAAAATCAATTTATTTCACCTTTCCCAATGCACCAAAGGCACTTACTTTTACGTAACATGCTATAATTTAGTTATTAAACCATCCATATGCGATTCATAATCTTTAACCCCACGATCCCGCCAAATTTCTTGTTCTGTTTGTGATGTAATAAATATGGGAACAAAATGCTGGCCCGAGGTATTTCATCCAGAAATTGTCGCCGCATATAGCCTACTGAAGAAGGTTACTGTCTGTTTCATTCTCTAACACTCCAGTTGAAATATTTGTTATTTAATTATTGACTTTGTGACAGAAGTGCAATAAATTAATATTCTGTGGTTATACCCTTCACACTGGTACCAGGAGCCACAATTGCATGTACACTGTATTCTGAAGCAAAATTTAGCAAAAGCTTTGCCAGCAGTTAAGCACTTTGAAAACTGTGCATTTCATTAATGAATGAAAGGCAGACTCCCCTATGATACAACCATTTCAGAATTATTCTAAAGGAATTATAGCAGTATGCCCACGTTTATGCCATGACGAAACGAGTCAGTTCATGCTCCGTACAATGTGCAATTGTTTCGCCACGTTTGCCTACAGGCCTTTTATATTGAATGGGGTCGATCGACATCAATACATTTATAGTTTTGTCCATTTTACTTTACTATTCATTTGATCCCGAATTCTCTTTCCACTCTGGGCACTGAGTCGGTGGTTCCTTTTGATCTTTTTATTAGACATTTGTACATCTTGATGACAGAGTTATAGAATGGCAAAGAGGTCCAAAGAACGGACTTTTTTCTGAACTATATCTGCACGAGTTTTCTGCATTTCAGTCAGAATTAAAACAGTAAGGTTATCCATAATTTTAGAGCTTTTGATAAAACATAATAAATGCAAGTGAAGCACAGGATTCTAGAATTCACTGTGGAACTGCGCTTCATAATTTTCCTGTTGTAATTGTTTGCGCATTTGTGAGTTTGTTTCCACTACTTCCCTACCTTAGTAGTCCAAAAACTGTTAGTAAAAGACTGACTGTTTATTTACATTTTTTGTGACATGTAGAGATTAAAAAGTCGGCGAGGCCCATGATCGATCAATTTAATTTCCGTCCTTTAGGCCATAACTTGAGGAAAGAAGCTGTATATTTGTTAACGGATTTAGGCTAAATAAAACGTTATTGGGCGAAGAATCCCTTGTAATGGATAACCCAAAAAGCCGCGGTCAGAATGAAGAAACCGGCTATGAATGGCCAATCATCAATTACAGCGCCCTCTATCCCATCTTGAAAACTGACACCTCAGCTGCTGCGCTCGCCCCTTATCTCACGAAGCGTGACCCACATTTGAGTGGAAGAAACTTTCTATTTGACCTTATTGATCTAAAAAGTTGAATATCCAACTTGTATTTTTGCACTAACGTCTCCAACAATCAACCGGTATTGACCATTTCAGAACTCAACCAATTCCATTAAGGTTTAGTGGCAGTACGAACGACCAAGACATGTTGACCCCTGCTTGGGTTCATGCGGTTGTTTATAGCAAGATTTGCATAAGAACGTTGACCCTTCCACTGTTGTAAGTTTACTCAGTACACATATGCATGTGTGATAACTGACAAGCTCGACCAAAGAATGCTACCGGACTCGCCGAAATTATCACCGGATTTCTGCCATTTGAGATGATCTCAGCTTCAGTAAACTTGCATCTTAGAGAGAAGGTAGGTTCAGAGAAGGTACTGAAGTGGAATATCTGCGTCTAGGTGTTCGATTTGCGTGAAAACAAATGTGGGAAAATTGGAACATCCTATGATTGAAGTTTGTGAAACTGTTGTAAAGGGAAAAAAGTTAAGAAGGGTTGCACTAGTTATGAACCCATGGCAAGTTGTGTTCTTAAAGTTCCCACACAATTCGAAGATCCTCATGTCGCAAATATTGCTCTTTTTGTTTATTTTCATATTTCTGGAATTGAAATGTGTCTGGTCACTGAATTTGTAAATTATTCTGTCACAGAATAATTAGTTTAGTATGGTTACTGAGCATGAGATCCATCCATCATGCCCATGGCATATATGCATATTATGAGCCCTCAACCCCCTTTGCACCAGTCCCAAATAAAGTTGTGACATTTCCAACAAGTGCTGTAGTAAGGGAGTCCAAATGATCGTATAGTCAGCAAAGTTTTACAGAAAAGTTTTTAACCTCTTGGTGTATCAGTATGACAAACAAAATCTAGATTGTGCGTGGAGGTGTTGCCGATGTACACCTGTACATAAGGAATGTTTATGGATGCTATGCACACACTATCTGGCCACTATCTGCTCTGAGTGGGAACAAATGAAATTGACCGTCCTTTGGTACAAACTCACTGCATGTAGGTGTGCATGCTAATGCTTGTTTGACGTGGGGTATGCTAAGTATGCGCAACGAATATGCCGGAATGTATGGTCTTCACATGCACGTTGAACGCAGGCAAGAAACTGGTTGGAAAACTTCAAACCAGTCTGTCTTTTTTTGCCGGTGAGGGTGCACTTCAATTCAGGGCAGATATAATATGGGCCATCTATAAAGTACTCTACGCACAAAGTGCTGACTTTTCAGACCCCTTTTCCCCTGTATGCATGACGTACCCAGTCAACCTCGCTCTCCCCCATACGTATACACATGAGAGTAATAACCAAAAATATCACCTGCCCTCGACTTTTACTCAACTGTGGGAACATACTTCTGCAGGGGTAATGTTGGGGTTTACTAATGATGGGCATTGGCACTGGAGGATAAATACTGGTAGTAGGGTGAATGGTGGAGGAGGCTGTCTCCAAAGCTGAGTCTCATATTTATTTGTATGAGAAAGTCAGGTGTATTGATATGAATTCATTAAAGGGAAATATTTGGTTTGTGTACAGTAAGCACTGGGTTGACCCCCCTCCCCTCTGTACACATGGTGTATGCAACATCTGGCACCAACCCCCCTTTCCTCTTCGTGCGTATATATTTTGTGGACAGCCCCATATGGTATCGTCAGGCAGGCCTAACTGCAGGATTATACGCTGCATGTACACCGCAGTTGGGACAGATGCTATTATGTAGATGTGATACTGATTATTATATGCACCGACACTATGAATTTATTTTTATTTTGTTTAACTGTTCTTTTTTTGAGAGATTCATTTATTTCATGGTGGATAATTAGTTGTGGACACCTGTAAACGTTTAGCATTATTCACAATTAGTGAACAGTGTTCCATATATAAATTATTTCAGTTGAAGCCAATGATGGATTCTGAGCATTTTTCTTCCGGCTATGTATTTAAACAACAGACTTGCTAAAATTTCTCTACTCAAAAGTTATGTGAAAACCGTACAATAATAAAATTAACCATTTGCACGTACTGCACATAAGTCACCAGAATGGTCATCACTTCCTAATTCAATGCAGACATGTGGCAAACAATCATATTCCATGGTGCCCATATTGTGACTGTACACTTATTTCATGGTATTTATAAGGTGCAAAGTATTTGTGTACTTACATGTACCGTATCGGTCATTCAGTAGTGTCTATATTTTGCTCATCAGGCTGTATTAGTAATGTCTAAACATTTCTCAAACTACACCTATCTC